TTCCCTACAGTTATACCTAAACTGAGAATACATCCTTCTACAGCAGCTTACTAGCGTTGACTGAAATTCAGTTACATTAGGTAAACATTAGGCAATGAAAGGAAGAAAAACAAGATGCTTTCAATGCCAAGGATTTAGAACTATCCATCCCTATGGCATTAAAACCCTGAGAGGTGTTTGATTTTACTTATATTCACAAAATTTTAGCACTTTAAAAAAATAGGAGTACTAAGCTGTGATCTTCAGGATTTATGTTAAAGGGCAAAAGGAAACTTGGGTGTAATTAGTCCGCTTAACCAAGGCCCCAAACCCAGCGTTACATTGGTTCCTTTTCAAGTTGCCCACTTCATTCAGAGATCCACAAAATCTGACATGATTTCCAGAAACCCCTGACTTTGGTATCAGTGATCACTGCTCATGCGTGATCACAGATCACACAGCATTTCTGTGAGTTCTTTTTGGCCCTTAATTATCCTGCTTATGCTATCCAGAGCTATTCTGCAATCCAGGTTGAAATTCAAACTTCCAGTTACTACTCAAGATTTCTGAACTAAGCCAAGTTTTAACCAAAAATTATAAGTAATAAATTACTAACAGAAATAATGCACTAGGACTTGGAAATATTTTTTTCTTTTATAAACAGTTTGGTATTTTTCAAATCATCTTCCAATATATAAGTAATTTTTTTCTTACACTACAGTTATCTGTTGATTTTTAAAACGGAAATTTTGTGCAAGTGTTAAGAAATACCACATTGGTGACCCGTGAAGGTGCCAGCCAAGAACTATCCTGAAAGACCATATACTCTGCGGCCGAACCTTGGGCTTTCCTCAGACTTCCGCTCAGATCATCCTTCGCCCACCCTGACCTTTAACACTGCGAATTGACCTCATCCTCCTCTTGCTTCACACCGACAAGGATCACCGCACAACTCCTTCAGTTTCCACAGCTGTGTTAGTTCTTGTGGAGAATACTGAGGGGAAGACAGCATTCCTGTTTCACAGGTCTTCTCACACAGCCACAGGCTGTCCTGTTGAAAACCGAAACAAAAGCTGATTTGGGAGCCCTGACACACCCTGCTGGAAGACAGACAGCGTGCATACAGGAGCTTCCAGATCCCAGTGAGGCTGAAGTTATTTCAAAGACAAGTGCATGTGTGAAGCCACTCAGCTTGTGGGGCGTAGGAAAAGCACACACCGGTGACCCTGAGGCTGTGGAGTAAAGAAACAGTGCAGTGTGTGCATTAAGAGTTTGCAAAAGGAGTTCTATGAAGAGAGAGTGTGGAAACCACAAATGCAGTTTCGTATTTGCTACTGGAGAAGAGGTGGCCAAATAGCATTATGAACAACAGCAAGTACTGAGGGAATGGTTACAATATTCGGGGGACAATACCAAGTGCTTTATAAATATTATCCAATTTAATTCTCACAATAACCCTGTGAGGTAGGAATTATTTCCTTTTTACAAATGAGAAACAAACTAAGAGTGAAGAAACTTGCTCAAGGTCACGGTGAAGTTCATGCTGGTAGGCTGAGTAGGAAGGATTGAAATGGAGTCTTGTCAGACTCAGAATCCGAGTTTTCACCCACCAGCCTACTTCCCAGCTCTGTGGACTAGCTTCTGTTTCCAGCAATGTAGCAGAATACAGATCCCATTCAACTTGAGAACATAAAAAGGAGGGATATAATAAAAAATGTCTTTTTAAAGGATGGCTGAACTGGTGGCAAAGGAGAGGAAACTGGAGAGTAGAAGGGCCTGGAGTCAGCGTGTGCCTTGTACAGGCCACGCCGGGGGACAGGAGACTGACCACTCCTTCCTACAGAGCCCTGTGCCCCTGGGGGCCGAGAGCCTCCGGGGGTATTAAAGGAAACAGAGAAGGCCTGTCTGTCTCTGCCCTGGCCCTGGACGGGTGGGACGGAGAGTCTCCCCTGAGCACCTGGCACCATAGCCCGCACTTAGGTGGGTGCAGCTGGCGTCACATTCTGCGGGGCCACCTCACTGCCAGAATCTGAAGTCGGCTGATTCTTTTGTGTTTTAAAGCTGCAAAGAATTTCTGATCAAACGTATAAAAACTCAATCCATTGTGAGTAGGAGAACTTCCATTCAAAACATTTCCTTTTGGTTTAGACTCAGAAAAATATTGTGAGATCTAGGCACATTATTGTGAATTAGATCAAGAGCACAGTTATGATGCCAAGAAGACCTTCCTTCCGTTCACTGTTCTGCCCGAGGTTTGATAGAGAAACCTCGCTGAACTCGTCAGAACCCAGAAGCCAGCCCCACTCAGGCTTGCTTACCTGATATCTTTTAGGTCCTATGGCTGCCATCCAAATGCCCATGCTTACATCTTCACCCTACACAGGCCCCATAAAGTTTAAAATGTAAAAATTTAAATGCTACTTCGTCTGTAAAGACAATGCCACACCCATTCCCGTAAGTAATCTTTCTACTTCTTCGTTTTGTGGCTATTCTAATATGCAAGGCTGAGGATGTATTACAACACCGATACACGAAGTAAAAGCTACCTGCCGTTAACATGAAGCACACACGCCACGATGAAGTACGACTATACACACTAAGTAAGCAGCCAGCCCCTCTTCTCGTGGACCTTAAACTTCCAGCACTAACGGTATGAAAGATACACTGGATCTAAGAACCGGGCAGAGATTGATTGATTTGCCATCTCAGAATCAGCAGAAAAACAAGCTTAGTCTTCAGCTTGCTTAGTCTTCCTTCTTATGAATATAAACCTTTACATTCCTTTAGGGACTATACCTTTAAATACAGGCTGAAAACATAACAGAAGGCTCAAAGATTTAGGAATAAAATTTAGATTTGAGGGATAGGAGTGTATCCCTAACCTTTGAGGGCTGACTCCTATCTAGAATGAATAACATGCCTTTCCCCAAGATCAGGTGGCTGTGCTTTTAATGATGGAATACTGAGTGGGATAAAACTTGTTTGGTCAGTGTACTCTTAGGTCAGAAATCCTTAATTACCTGGTAGGTCTTTAATCTCCCCGAGTTGCCAGCCAGCCAGTGGACGATGTCCCTGGAGATGACATACCCTGAGCCGCATGCAAAGGCGGGATAAGCGGGACTGGGGTACTCCAGTTCCTGCCACTTCCCGGTTCGGTCAACGGCCCAATTCAATCTGAAACTGACATGCAACATGAGTCGGCTTCTTTGTGTTGCTCTGACACGTATCCTACCACTAGTTAAGCTTGAGTCCTTAATTATCACTACAAAGGAATAAGCTGTAGAAGCAAGGAAAGAAGAATGAGAGATTATTGTTTTCCTCTAAGGACAGGAATTATTTATCTAGTGGTGTTTTATGTAAAAGACTGATATGTTAAATTCTCTCCAAGTTGTATTTATGGAGTTTCTGAATCATCTTGTGTAGATATATTAAAATAAATGAAAAATAAATCACCAATCCCTATTGCATTCCTAAAGACACATAGAAAATGGTTTCAGAAATGTCACAAATTTATTGTAATGTACAGCAGCGTCTAATTTGAGTAGCACTTAATATGTAGGGCATGAGGATAAAAGCCACATCATTTTCCATCCTTCATTATATTAGCCTGAGGTTTTCCATTTAAGAGTTTTTTTCCCCTTTAATTGTAGATTAATAAAATATAGTGACCCCGGGGCCTAAGAGGGAAATTTCCTATCTCAACCACATTTTTCTTATGATAAGTGACTTGTATCTTTCATTCTAAATTAACGTATGCTCATGAAATGAACGCCAATGGCCTAACAATGTTTAACTTACTTTCCCCACCAAAAATTAGGCCCATCCAGATTCTTAAGGGCGATTCTATTAAATACAGCTTCCAAGTCTATGTAACAGTCGTCATCCGTCTTTAGCAACAGATCAAAGCTGGTTGTTTCCACAGTCCTGTTGGCGAAAGGGGGGATATGAAAGTCAGGGCGTCCATACGAGGAAACAGAGCAACACCAATGTGGTGACACTGCTAACATCTTAATGAAAACTGGCCCTGTACTGTCTGTATGCTTGGCCAGCTTTTATCCATCCAATATCGGGAGCATCTGCTCTAAGAGCATCGCTGCTGCCAGCTACAATCCTCACTTCATATTAACAAAGGGGTATAACGGAGAGGTGCCACGCCAATTTTAAAAGGTATAAAGGAAGAAGAAAGAATACAATGAAAAAAAGATCTGGCTTAAGTAGAATATATAATCAAACAAATGCTTCTCAGGCCTTGCCCAGGTCAGGCCAGCAAACCTATTAAGCATCTGAACCTTGCCCCTTGCGTTCTTAATGAGAGGGCCACGCAGATGAGGGGACAGATGCCATACCTGGCCTCTCGCACAGAACGCCGTCGTACAACAGAATGTGTTCCATGCTGCTATTGATAGTACACTCAGGTATTTTACGGTGTTTAAAAAGCTGAGTTATAACACTGAAGTACATTTTCCCTTGGAAACGATTTCCAGTAATTCAGCTATTACAAATGACCTTCTGGAAGGCACAAGAGGGTGATTTCATTTATCTAGACATTAAAAAAATATATAATGGCAACTAGAAACAAAATTGACTCTTTGATGTCACATTGCCAATCCCTGTACCTCTTTTACCCAGAGTCTTGCGAGGGAACCAGTCAGAAGACAGAAATTTGAATTAAAGAAATCTGGAGAAAGTTTCATTAGGCCACAAAATGGTGAATTTAACGATGTATCCACAACAAAAAGCATAACCCTACGTTTCTAAAGTTCATTTCTAGTTAATAGCATAGGCCATACGTAATATTTGCTAATTAGAAATAAACTTTTGTGATAAAGGACACTGACTGAGATCACTAATGGATCACCTGAATAAAGATGAATGAAAAATAAAGATGTCATTTACGATGTGGAGGGTAGATGGGGGGATGGGCTACTAGGAAGCGGGTCCGGACGTACAGCCTGTCAGAAGGTCACCGCAGTGTTCCAGGTGCACACGATGGCCCAGAACAGACAGTGGCAGAGAGACTACAGAGAGAGGCCAAGATCACAGAGATACGCAAGTAGTATAGTAGAAGAGACAAAACTTAAACTGGAGGTAGTAATTAGACCAAATTGAACTTCCACAACTGGGAGTCAGCTCCCTATAGAAAGCCCTAGAACTCAGCAGTCCTGATCTCCCACTGCCTGGACCCCCATTCCCACTCCACCTCTTTACAGCCTCGCCCTTGCCTTGGCCGACCCATAACAGGAACCCCATTGGTGACCTTGAGCTAAAAGAAGGCTCTTTCTCTTACTACAGCTGTCAAACTTAATCCTGGTATTCTAGGCATACCCACATTTCCAGCTCGCATTTATATCTGACCTCTACCCACGAGATGACTCCAGAATTACACTGACTTGCCCCAGCTATGAAACTACCACCCATAAATTAAACTGTCTACCCCTCAGGACCAGGGAACTATATCCATAAAGGATCGATGATTTCCCATTCTGCTCAGGGCAAAACAAAGAAGAAAAGAAGGGACAGACTCTGGGGCTCACCGAGCAACAAGTTCCCTGATAAAGTTTTAAAAAAGAAAAAGACAAAGACGTGAATATACTTTATGGGTTTGGTCTAGACAGAGAGAGAGAGAGAGAGAGAGAGAGAGAGAAGGTTTCAGTTCTACAGTCAGGGTAGACAGTATCAGGGGGCTCACAGCAAGTTATGGGACCCTAGAGTAACTTAATAATATTAACAACTACATGTATTCAATTAAGAAGAGTCACTGTGGGCTTCCCTGGTGGCGCAGTGGTTGACAGTCCGCCTGCCGATGCAGGGGACACGGGTTCGTGTCCCGGTCCGGGAGGATCCCACGTGCCGTGGAGCGGCTGGGCCTGTGAGCCATGGCCGCTGAGCCTGCGCTCCGCAACGGGAGAGGCCACAACAGCGAGAGGCCCATGTAACGCAAAAAAAAAAAAAAAAAAAAAAAAAAGTCACTGTTATATTATTATTGGTGGTGTTATTGTAATGCAAGTAGGAGTTACAACCAAGATCCAAGAAATACTGGAGGGTCTGGGAAGTTAACAATATGGTAGACTATAAAGGTTGCTGAATTTCGTCTTATTAAAGCTTCTGGAATTAGGGCAGATAGTTCTTAAATGGGTTGGAGGAGGGAACGGAAATATAATGTGGATGTTCAGCTGAATGGAATTCAGATCAGTAACCTGGGTGTAAATGGGGGATATAGGTGCGTGGGTATGAAAATGCCTGAAGATAGGCTATTTTCAAACTCACTGATTTTCACCTAATGTTGGCTCAAGACAACTATGCCAGCATGTGAGGAGGCCGTACAGGAAAGTAATGGGAGTGGGATACTAAACAAGCAGTATCTAGTACAGAATATGGTGTGGCCTCTCCCCTTGTGGAGCACAGGCTCCGGACGCGCAGGCCCAGCGGCCACAGCTCACCGGCCCAGCCGCTCCGCGGCATGTGGGATCCTCCCAGACCGGGGCACGAACCCGCGTCCCCTGCATCGGCAGGCGGACTCTCAACCACTGCACCACCAGGGAAGCCCACCTTGTTTGTTTTTGATACATTAATAGTGTTCACATTATGGATCAGCTCATCGAAATAGTAAAGCGGCAGCATTTTAGAAGATCAGTCCTCACAAAGAACCAGGATACAATAGATCACACCCCAAGTGCACAGTGCTCTTAGGTTTGTGTGTTTTTAAAAAAATCTCAGTGATTTGATGTTGATAAATTGTTTCTACATCAAAAGAAAAATAAAACAATACCTACCCAACATTTTTATAACCTACCATTTATAGAAGTTCAGTAATTTTGCAGGAACATTTCGGTAAGTGTCAACAACATCCACAAACACAATATCATCATAGAGGCTGCTTTCCTCCTTCAGTAAGGCATCCTCCTCGTGGAGATTACTTATATGATCAAGAAGTCTTCGAGGGCGAGAATGAAGATTTTTTAAGAGAGCATCACCTTCTAAGAAGGAAAAGAGAGCTGAAGAAAAAGGCTATTGCAAACTTAAGACCCAGAACTTGTAACGTTATTGCATTAACCCTCCTCCCAAGGTAACCTAACAACACAATTAGGAACTCTGAAGTAGGGAAATGGGAACGCCCACACATTGCTGGTGGGAGAATAAAGGGCTACACTCACTGTGGGGAGCAACTCAGCAATACCTAGTTAGGCTGAAGATGTGTGCACTGTTTGACTCGCTAAGTCCACTTGTAGATATATCCCCAGAGACATTATTTTACACACTCACAAGGGTATTTATGGCAGCATTGTTTGTGACAGTGAAAAAATGGAACCAGCCTAAATACCCACCAATAGGAGAATGGTTAAACTGTGGTATGTTCACATAATGGAATACAGCAGTTAAAAAAATTAACCTGCATAGCAGCACTATTTATAACAGCCAAGATGTGGAAACGACCTAAATGTCCATCAACAGATGAATGGATAAAGATGTGGGGGGTGTGTGTGTGTACACACACACACACACACACACACACACACACACAGGAATATTACTCAGCCATAAAAAAGAATGAACTGTCATTTGCAGCAACATGGCTGGAACTAGAGATTATCACATTAAGTAAATCAGAAAGAGAAAGACAAATATGATGTCACTTATATGTGGAATCTAAAATATGACACAAATGAACTCATCTACAGAACGGAAACAGATTCACAGACACAGACTTGTGGTTGCCAGGGCTGGTGGGGTGGGGAAGAGGGGATGGATTGAGAGTTTGGGATTAGCAGATGCGAACTATTATTTATAGGATGGATAAACAACAAGGTCCTACTGTAGAGCACAGGGAACTATATTCAGTATCCTGTGATGAACCATAATGGAAAGGAATGGGAAAAAGAATTGTGTGTGTGTGTGTGTGTGTGTATATGTATGTATAACTGAACTGGTTTGCTGTACAGTAGAAAGTAACAACATTGTAAATCAACTATACTTCAGTAAAATAAATGAAAAAAAAATTAACCTGATCTTGGATGTTAAGAGGAATGGCACTAAAAAATAATGCTGAGTGAGAAAAAGTATCTTGCCAATTGATTAATCAAAACTGTATGTTATTAAAAGCTGTATACACATGCATGTAGTAGAAAATAGAAAAATAAGAATGGGAAGGGTACACATGAGTTTCAGGACAGTGGTGGTCTCCTGTCCAAGGGGAAGGGAGAGGAACGGGGTAGGAAGTACTGGGAGGGAAGAGGCTTCAACTGTATCTATAACGCCTTATTTCTCTGAAAACAAAGAAAGGAAGCAAATATGACAAAATGCAAACATCTGTTAATTCTGAGCATCAAGTACATGGGTGTTTCTTATAGCACTATTTTTGGTTTATTTATATTTTATAATAAAACTTATGACCACTGTGCTTAAAAGACATTTTAATTACCACCTCACAAGCTAATGGATCGTTCGGCACATGTGTGCAGGGACTGTCCTCAAATAAGGCAGCAATCCTATCACTAGCGCAGGATTTTCTCAGCTGTCTCAAATTAGAAAATTTCTGAAAACTAAACAAGTGAGTGGCTGAGGGGTGGGGGAGAGAAACCGAGACGTAATTCAGCCCTCCGCTCTGTGACTGCGAACAGCAAGACTGGGCATGGGGGCTGAGGGCCTGTGTCCGATTTCTACCTCTGCCACTGTCGGTGAGGTAATGGATGAGTCACACGTTTCTGGGCCTCAGCATTCTCATCTGTAAAAGGAGGAGCTGGACTACGTCTGTGGTTCTCAGGATTGCTTACTGACATACAGATTCCTAGGCCCCAAGCCTAAAGATCCTGCAGGTCTTGGGTAGAGCCCAGGAATCTGTATTTCTAACCTGTGACTTCCTGTAACTTTGATGCAGGTGGACCATAAACAACCCTTTGAAAAACACAGGCCTAAATAACCTCGGGTCCCTTTCAACTTTTACACTCTCCTCTAACGTCCTTTCACTTTAAAGATAAGGATAAATATACACAATTTAACACTTGAATGAAAGTCAAAGTGTTATAAAATTGCAGCAACAGGAATGGATAAGATGCGAGCAGAAATACAGGCTTTTTCATTAACAAATTGTACATGTTGGTTTTTTCTGCATATATCTGAAAAACACGAGTATAAATTAATAAAGTAATATATCTGTGTGTGTGTTGGGTTTTTTTTGGCTGCGGTGGGTCTTCGTTGCTGCACATGGACTTTCTCTAGTTGCGGTGAGCGGGGGCTACTCTTCGTTGCAGTGCGCGGGCTTCTTACTGTGGTGGCCTCTTTTGCAGCAGGGCACGGGCTTTAGGCGTGTGGGCTTCAGTGCCTGTGGCATGTGGGCTCAGTAGTTGTGGCTCGTGGGCTGTAGAGCGCAGGCTCAGTAGTTGTGGCGCACGGTCTTAGTTGCTCTGCAGCATGTGGGATCTTCCCGGACCAGGGCTCGAACCCGTGTCCCCTCTGCTGGCAGGCGAATTCTTAACCACTGCACCACCAGGGAAGTCCCTCTGTGTTTTAAATCTGATCATCTGTCTAGGTGCCATTTACAAGAATCATGTGGTTTACGGCCTCTCAAACTTTGGAGGCATCAAACCCATCTAGGGAGCTTATTAAAATACAGGTATCTGAGCTCCAATCCTGAAGATTTTTAACTCTGTAGGCTTGAGGTAGGGCCCAGCCAGAGATGGTAATGCCCAACAAAATTTGAGAATTTGTGTACCATGTGATTCTTCTGAACAGCACGTAGATCCTCAGATTTTAAAAAATTATAGTCAGATTTTCAGATATATCCAGTACATGAGAAGAAAAATCTATTCATTTTAATTCCTTTAGCCTAACACTTGAGTTATTTCTCTCTTGTTTGAAGGGAGCTTTCCTCACCCAAACCTTAATCTTTTAGCCTCAGTGAGAGAAAACTTAAGACAAACAGTTGTTTAGGGTACAGTAGTTGCTCCTCGTAGAACAGTTTAGTGCCAGAAATCTCAAGGGCCCCTCAAGTTTTTAAAGGCTCTTGATGGTACATACATGAGTTAACTGGCAAAAGAAAGGAAGTTGCTAGATATGAAGTCAGATGGTGTGTAACACCTGTACCCGGCCCCCCAGTGTGAGCTGTTTTACAAAACTGGCCTGCCCTCCCGATCTGAGTCCTCCCCAGGGCTGAGCCATTAGCCCCTGTGAGCTAAGTCCATACCTTCCCTAGCAGAGTGGTCTCACAGTTTTATGAAAAATCTCTGGACTAAAATTAAGGATCCGTAAATTTTAAATCTCTATTTTTAATGGCAGGTTTGTGGGTAAAACCTGTGTACCTATTCCAGCCTACCCTTAGGGGTGATGTAAGAATAGAAATACTTCTATGAGGAAACACTGTATAAATAAAGATGCTAGAAATTGAAAAAAGCCACAGCCCATTCACATCTTCAGACTACCTGTAGTGGCCTCAAACAGAGGGTCTGCCCCATCCTCAACCCTGCACTATTAAGGGAGACCCCTGAAGACCTGCCTCTCAGAATACGGCCTCTGCTTTCCCCAAGTCACTGTGTGCCTTCAGGGAAGCTGTGTCCTAAGTCTTTTATAGGAATCCATGATCTGTAGAGCTCTGAGAAGCCAGATGATGCACTACTAGGCACCTTTCCATAAGTGGTGATCAGGACAAGTGACCAAGAGCAACCGCATCAACAATAGCTTTTCTTAGAGATCACTGATACAGGAATTCATTGATGTGGATATTTTCAGGAGCATCACTCAAGAAGACAAACACAGCCATTTCTTTTTGGGGTGGTGGAGAGGGCTGCAGAACTCTGAATACATTGAAAGCCATTGAATCAAATACTTTAAAAGGGTAAAGTATATGGTATGTGAATTATGTAGCAACGGAGCTATTTTTAATGACCAAAAAAAAAAAAAAAAGATTACCTTTGATGTCAAAAGTATGAAGATGAGGTAGGCGAGATTCAGTATGTTTTTCAACTTTTAACCAGTTGACTTACCCTGAATAGTATAAATAAAGCCACCTGCAACTCCCTCCACACCTTCCATGAATTCATGAGGCAAGGCACCCTCCCCAGCCTGAAAGAAAACAGAATAGAAGTGCTTGGTGTTTTATTACTAAGAACACATTTCTTATATTTGAAAACCGATTTGGCACAATTCATAATGTGACGCTACAGCACATAAATCCATCTAAGATGCTGATGCACTAGACTTACGCTGTCAGGAGGACATCAGCATTCTAGTTTTGTCGCCTAGTCCAAGATCAGGTACACACAGTAATCTACGGATTACTGTTCAGAATTCCAGCCTATGTAGAATCATGTATTCTTGAACTTGCTACCAACACTATTACCAAGACCAATTTTCTTTTACGTCAGAACTCCACCAGTTAAAAAAAATTATAACCAGCTCTGATTTCGTGGAGATTGAAAATGCCCATGAGTTCAAATACACCCAAGCACATTTCAAAGTGACAGCTACCACACAGAGACAAGCCCTCTAAGCAAACAGTTCAGCCCGAGCCGTACTGATTACTGACGTTGCTGAAGGTGCCCACTGCACCAACAGCCAACAACGGTCCCCTCTACCGCTAAGGTGTGGAGCATCTTTGGTTATTACGAGATTTACCTCTTTTACCTCACAGGTTACCCCAGGCCCTTACTCAAAGTGAGGGGCCTCACCTCTCTGTGTTCCACCCCAACTTAACACCCTACCAGCGATCCAGCTGCTGCGGGCTGGATGGGATTGTCACAGCCACGCCTCAGCACGTTTACAGCGTTTCTTCTTGACGGGTGGTCAAGAGGGCTTACTGCCTGGGTAGTCCTCTTTGAACAGATCCTTCTAGCAGAGCTGTCCCTGTACAAAGCAATGTTTTAATAAGGCCAGTAGAGAGACAGTGTTCTGCAGTGATTGTGGGAAAATCGCCATTCAATTCAGAATATGGTTTGTAGCTGAATGTGGAGGAAATCTCTAAAGGTGAGCGCTACAGATTCCAACCTTGTACGTCTACAAAAGATTGCACACTCTTTTTTTTTAATTGTACCATCTATACTGTTTTGGCTTGTTTACTAACAGTACTTTATGTTTATTAACTTCTGTCTAAAAGGTCACAGCTTGGCTTTTATTTTGTCTTTAAACTTTTTCCAACATGATTACTTGCTGGCAAGGCAGCGAGACTTAGGAAAACTTCCAGCTCTATATGGGTTTCTTAGAATAGGCTACTAAGTTATCTGACTTTTTTTAAGGTTAGCTGAGTGTTTAAGCCATCACTGCCCTCCACAACCATATTCACCCCCAGAGCAGATCACTTGAGTCTTTACATTTAAATCTAGCCCTCAATTCAGAAGTAAACTGATTTCCTTTTGTGCAACCAACTGAGCAGTATAGAATTCTGGCATGTTTGGGATATTTTTAAGTTTCATACACAGAAAAGGAGGCAAGATATTAAAGGCACTTGCTTTGAAAATAAGGAAAGAAAAAAAACTATAAATCCGTAAAACACTGTGTCTTAAATAAAGGACTTTTCATAATCAAGAATGAAATCTGATACATGGCCTACAAGGCTAAAGCTGTAATTATACATGAATTTGTGGGGTCTGTCTAGTGTCTTTTCCCCTCACTGGACTATAAATTCCACTGTGGGCCAGTAATGGGCCTGTTTTGCCCATGACTGTGCCTGGCTCACAAGTGTGCAGCAGATGTTTTCTGAACGTGCAATAACAAACCACATGATTTTCATTTCAAATTCAGGGATTAATTTATGTGAATAAGGTTAATATTTAATGGAATGTACTAAGCTTGTGACCTTAAATGCCAAGTGCTTTCCTAATTAGATCAGAGCATCAAGGAGAACAATTCTGTCTGACATCAGCACATATACCACTTGTTTACTTAAAGTTCACCATTTTAAGTTTGCCTACACCTTCTTTTTCATCCTACAATTTGAGAAATTTATTGTCAAACTGTTTCAAATGTTAAGAAAACTTGGTAAATGAAAAATAAAAGTCACAAATCCCAACAACATAAACGAAAGTGAATACTCAACCTTACTAATACTTTTATCTATAGTATTGTAACTGACATCATACTATCAAGGTGAGATAGTGAATATTCTGAATACTATAGAGTAAGTGAACTTAAAAGAACATTAACTTAAAAACTATGAAGAAATAAAACATCGCACTTTCTAAAATGCACTAGACTTAAGGCAAAACTATATATTTACTAAGGTTGAAGTTACAAAATCATACAACATTTGAGTTTTTCATCTTTACTATGTGGTGCCTCAACATTTTCTAGTGTACATGTTCTAAAATACGTAAGATTCATTGTTCCATATGAGTTGATGTAAAAGTAAACTTAAAAACACTTTTACATATTAAAAAATGCTAAGGTGTGCTAAACAACCTTTAAAAATGAATGACTTACTGTGATGACTCTGAGAACTCCTCCCCCATCATTGACTGTCACTTTGTGGAGATTTCTTGACACAAGGCCTTGGAGGTCTTGGCTCTCCCACACGATTGTACCTTCAAAGCTCTTTTGTGGAAAGATGAACAGTGAATCGGCTTCTTTATTGCTGTCATTTAGGTTTTAAGTAAGTTTCTAGAGAAGAGTTTATTTTTTCTAAGACACATTGGCTAAAACTTTTACTGCCCGCTAAGACGCCAATGCTAACATTTTGGTGTATATCTTAGAGCACATCTAAAACAATAGTTACAAAGACCTTACAGACAGTTTTACATGCTGCTGTCATTTCCCATCGCATCAAAGGCATTTCCTTATGCGACTGCCGCTGTTAAAACTGCTCTTTTTCAAGTACTTATAGCAATACTGCTGAGTGAATGCATCCTGATTCACTCAGGCATCTCCCTACCGTTGGACATCTGGATACTACCAAATAGCTACTAAAATAATGCGAGGCCTGTTGTGGTGTAAATGTTTATTTTTCCCCAATACTTTGTTTTTTATTTAAATTCCCAGAGGTGAAATTACTGGGACAGGAATAGAGATAGTTTATATGGATTTTGGTACACACTGCCAAACTGCTTTTCAAAAACAAATTCTACCTGTAGGGTCATTAGCAATTTATGAGAATACCAGTTGCATTGTCCTCTTCCCAGTATGGGATATTAGTAAAAGAAGTTAAGCTAATTTAGTAGATTTAAAGAAACGGTTCCTCATTTAATTAGTGTTTCTTTTGATTTCTAATGATGTTTATGAATTATAGTCTCTTGTGGGAATTGCCTTGTCATGCTTCTTTGCCATTTAGCTACTGAGTTTTGTATTTTTCTTATTAATCTGTGTAAGCTTTAATAAATTATCTTAATACTGTATATTTTATATACTAAGAATGTTCTTTCAGAATTATTTATTTATTTTTAAACATCTTTATTGGAGTATAATTGCTTTACAATGGTGTGTTAGTTTCTGCTTTATAACAAAGTGAGTCAGCTATACATATACATATATCACCCTATCTCCTCCCTCTTGCCTCTCCCTCCCACCCTCCCTATCCTACCCTCTAGGTGGACACAAAGCACCGAGCTGATCTCCCTGTGCTATGCGGCTGCTTCCCACTAGCTAGCTATTTTACATTTGGTAGTATATATAAGTCCATGCCACTCTCTCACTTCGTCCCAGCTTACCCTTCCCCCTCCCTGTGTCCTCAAGTCCATTCTCTACGTCTGCATCTTTATTCCTGTCCTGCCCCTAGGTCCTTCAGAACCTTTTTTTTTTTTTTTTTAGATTCCATATATATATATGTTAGCATACAGTGTTTGTTTTTCTCTTTCTGACTTACTTCACTCTGTATGACAGATTCTAGGTCCATCCACCTCACTACAAATAACTCAATTTCGTTTCTTTTTATGGCTGAGTGGCTGAGTAATATTCCATTATATATATGTGCCACATCTTCTTTAACCATTCACAAATAAATGGAAAGATACTCCATGATCATAGATTGGAAGAATTAAAACTTGTTAAAATGTCCACATTACACAAAGCAATTTACAGATTCAGTGCAATCCCTATCAAAATACCAATGGCATTTCTCACAGAAATAGAACAAACAATCCTAAAATTTGTATAGAATCATTAAAGATCCCAAATAGCCAAAGCAATCTAGAGAGATAAAAACAAAGTGGGAAGCATCATGCTTCCTGATTTCAAACTATATTACAAAGCTACAGGAATCAAAACAATATGGTGTTGGAAAAAAAACATACACATAGATCAGTGGAACAGAATAGAGACCCAAAATAAACCCATGTGGTCAATTAATTCACAACAAAGGGGCCAAGAATATACAACAGGGAAAGGACAATCTCTTCCACAAATGGTGTTGGGAAAACTGGACAGCCACGTGCTTAACATGAATGAAACTGGACCACTAACTTATGCCATACACAAAAATCAACTCAAATGTGTTAAAAAACTTGAACATAAGACCTGACACCAGGAAACTCCTGTAAGAAAACATAGGCGGTAAGCTACTTGACATCCGTCTTGGGGTATGATTTTTTGGATTTGATACCAAAAGCAAAGGCAACAAAAGCAAAAATAAACAAGTAGGACTATAGCAAACTAAAAAGCTCTGCACAGCAGGGGAAACTATCAACAAAAGGAAAAGGCAACCTACTGAAAGGGAGAAAATATTTGCAAAATCATGTATCTGATAAAGAGTTAATATCCAAAATATATAAAGAACTCAAAACAACTCAATAACAAAAAGCCAAAGGAGCCAGTTTTAAAAAATGGGCAGAGTATCTGAATAGACATTTCCCTAAAGAAGACATACAGGTGGTGAACAGGTACATACAAAGATGCTCAACATCACTAATCATAAGGGAAATGCAAATCAAAACCACAATGAGATATCGCCTCATCTATGTTAGAACAGCTAGTACTGAAAAGAAGAAATAACAAGTGTTGGCAAGGATGCGTAGAAAAGGGAACCCTTGTGCACTGTTGATAAGAATGTAAACTGAGGCAGCCACTACAGAAAAAAGTTTGGAGCTTCCTCAAAAAATTAAAAATAGAACTAGCATATGATCCAGCAATTCCACTTCTGGGTACTCATCCAAAGGAAATGAAAACACTAACTTGAAAAGATATATGCACCCCCATGCTCCCTGCAGCATTACTTACAATAGCCAAGACATGTAAACAACCTAAGTGTCCGTCAATGAATGAATGGATAAAGAAAATATGGTATCTATATACAATGGAATATTACTAGCCATTAAAAAGAATGAAATCTTGCCATTTGTGACAACACGAATGAACCCCAAGGGCATTACACTAAGTGAAATAAGTCAGACAGAAAAAGACAAATACCATAAGGATCTCACTTATCTAAAATAAAAAGAACTGAATTCATAGATACAGAGAACAGATGGGTGGTTGCTAGAGGTGGGTGGTGGGAGGTGGCTAAAACGAGTGAAGGTGATCGAAAGGTGCAAACTTCTGCTTACAAAAAAATAAGTCTTGGGGATGTAATGTACAGCCTGGTGACTGTAGTTAATAATACTGTATTGTATATTTGAAAGTTGCTAAGAGAGTAGATTTTTCTTTTTTAATAAATTTACTTATTTATATTTTTATTTTTGGCTGCATTGGGTCTTCATTGCTGCACGTGGGCTTTCTCTAGTTGTGGCAACCTGGGGCTACTCTTTGAGGTGCACAGGCTTCTCATTGCAGTGGCTTCTCTTGTTGCGGAGCATGGGCTCTAGGCGCATGGGCTTCAGTAATTGTGGCACGTGGGCTTCAGTAGTTGTGGCACGTGGGATCAGTAGTTGTGGCACGTGGGATCAGTAGTTGTGGCACGTGGGATCAGTAGTTATGGCTCGCGGGCTCAGCTGCTCCGCGGCATGTGGGATCTTCCTGGACCAGGGCTCAAACCCGTGTCCCCTGCACTGGCAGGCGGATTCTTAACCACTGCGCCATCAGGGAAGTCCCTAAGAGAGTAGATCTTAAAAGTTCTCATCATAAGATAAATTTGTAACTATGTCTGGTGATGGATATTAACTAGACTAGTGTTGATCATTTTGCAACAAATACATATATTGAATCATTTTATTGTATACCTGAAGCTAATATAATGTTGTATGTCAATTATATCTCAATTAAATAAATAAATAAATTTAAAGAGACTGCCCTCTGAGTTGAACTAATTAAATTCTTAAAGTAAGAGAAACAATGTTTCCAATAACTGGGAAGAACTCTAAGGTTGAAGCTTAATTAGTAAAATCCATACCTTAAAACACTATAGGAAGGCTGGTCTAAGAGAGAATTTTGGCAACAAGTAGCAATGTTTAAGGGGAGACAGAATAATTGGAAGATATAAAGCACTCTGGTCACATCCTACCTGAATGAGGCAGCTCTCAAAAACACCCACCACCTCCCACTGCTGTAATCAAATTCAGTGCCCAAACCAAGTACGGTTCAGATTGGTTTTTAGGTGCCTTGACATATCAGGAAGGAGGTTCCTAGCTCGTGGCCACAAGAATTCAAACCACGCTAATGAGCTAACACCCATCGAACATGAATCAATAGACATTCTGGTTTATACACTCCGCAAGGTCAGCATTAGGACCCAAGAGCTAAGTCCTAGACCCTCGACTGTGTGAGGCTGCTCTGGGTTAATCATGTGTCTTTCTCCTGGCAACAACGACCTCTTCCCCTTGGGATACTTTACTTTCTTCTAAAACTTTAATAGTGATAAAGTTTGGAAGGACTGACACCAAGTAAGTTTCAGAGAAAGAAATGACAGGACTTAGTGAGTGCTTGGATATGAGAATTGAGGATTAAAGCCCACGATTCTGGTTTGGGTGCCTGGGAAAAAGGAGATACTATGACCCAAGACTGAAAATACAGGAGGAGATGAGAATGGGTGGGCTATCACCATTAGATGCTATCACCACAGAACGCCCAGGGGACATTCCAAGTGGAGGAGTTCAGTAGGTGGCTGAAGTGTGTATGGAGTTCATAAGAAACCTGGGCTGCAGTAAACAGGTGGTAATAGATGAAACTGTCTAGGAAGAATGAGTAAAATAAACAGAAGGCTGAGTATCAGATCCTAATGATTAACGTTCAAGGGGAAAACGAAAGAGGAGATAATGAAGTTATGTACTGGGAAGAAGGACTGGGGCAGATTAAGCTGAACTAGAAGAATGCATATCATATAAGCTAAGAGAAAACTGCAGTCAACTAGGGTAAGGACTCCAGGTAAGTGTCCCCTGGAGGTGGCAGTTAGGTCACTGGGAATCTTTGCAATTATAGTTCCTAATGAACCATACCAAAGTAAAAGCTATAGTGACCTCAGAAAAGCTTCACCTTGAAACTACAAATCTGGCAAATATGATGACAAATCAAGTAATTCTCTGTCCAGTCCAGTCAACTGACACTTGGCACCTGACTCTGCCCGGCACCCAACTCCATTTCGTTTGACTGGGTTGTGATATAACATCAACAATGTTGACTAAACTGAGTAATTACCAGAAAAACTCACTGGCCCAAAAAGTGATCCTGCTTTTTTATTCACGCAACTGATAACCAGTTGTTTTTGTTATGAGAGGAGGGAGGGGTTCTACCTTCTCCACCTCCCCTGTAGCTTCTCCATGGCACAGTTAAATGTCTATTCCCCACTTCTCTCACATGCCTACTTTCTACTCTCATACAAAGTAATCACAAAGCTAGGAATCTCTGCAGATGCAAAACAGCTTCTTTACGGCAATTCCCTGCTAAAATCATAAAACCAAAGGAAAAGGTAGGAAAGAACAGCACGGTATAGTTGGAAGAATGAGCTCTCATAAGTCCTCTCACCCATAACGTAAGTGAGCTATGTGCAACCTATGCTGTCCATTCTTCTGTGTCCTATTTCTAACTCGTCATCCAAACCAACAGAGTAGCTTAAACATACACAGTACTTTTGTACCTGTAACTGTTAACGATTTCTTGTGGATTGGAGAAATGACTACCTCTAAAAAATTTCAACTTTCATAAAAAATAAGTATATAAGTACCCATGATACTAACAATACTGTCTCTAGTGACTCGAGTTGAATGAAAATAGTCTTTTTATTGAAATTAGTTTCAGGTTTCAGGTGCACTAAGAGAAATATGAAATTAGAGAAATAAATATTTTAAAAGAAACACACAGCAGTCTCCATTTAAATTTGTGACCCCCAGTGAGATTTATGCTTTAGTGAGTCACACGACGAAAACAGTGCAAGAGCCCTGCTTAGCTGACAAGCCATACTGCTGACGTTACTCTAGCTGACTGTGAAGTGTGGAAGGAATAAGATGATGAACAAATCAACCACTTCTCCCTCGCAACTGGGATCAACGATCTGTTTTTCTTCGGGCATACTCTGCTGATGATAGGCAGACAAACCCATTCATCACTATCATATTTTCTGTGCAAATAAGCCCCATTAGGCTTGAGGCAGCAAAAATGACTATCTATATAAAATTAAACAGGTTTTCAACAAAAACAGGATTTTGTGTAAAAGGAAAGAATATGTTATCTTTAAAAGTTTATTTTTTTCTTTTAATAAAAGCTAATATATAGTTATTTCAGAACATTTAGAAAATAGATACACAGAGAGAAGAAAATAAAAATCATCCATAATCCTACTCCCCCAGATGCAGACACTATTAAATAACTGCGTTGTTTATAGAAGGAAAAAACGTTATTCAGATGTAATGAAAAACCAAAAGCCAGTTTAGCTTAAAGCGTCAAGGGAAATAAAGATCACAGGCTTTAGCCAGTAGAAGTCTTAATAACTAAAACGGCCACTACCTGACTTGGCTGAATCCTTCCCGTCCTGAGTAACTACTGCCATATATACCATCCTGAACACTGGCAAGGAAGGCAGCTCCTTGCCCCAACCTAATTTTTATTCTGAAAAGCTTCAAACCTACAGAAGTTGAAATTACCACCCAAATCCCCTAGACTCACCAACTGTTAACATTTGGCAACATGTGTTTTTTTTTTGTTTTTTTGTGTTTTTTTTTAACTTTTCGGCCGTGCCGCCCAACAGGCGGGATCTTAGTTCCCTGACCAGGGATCAAACCTGCACCCCCTGCAGTGGAAGCGTGGCACCTTAACCACTGGAGTGCCAGGGAAGTCCCTGGCCACATGTGCTTCATCTCTGTCTCTAGACACACATTCTTTTCTGTTGTTCTTTGTTGTTCAATCACTTGAAAGTAAAATACATTTCACCTTGACTTCAGCATGTATTTCCTAAGGACAAGGACATTCTAAGGGAAAGTAATGGTTTTTTGTGGACTCATCAAAAACTGTAATTCTTTCTACGAGGCTGACCAAGATAATGGAGCAGGCCCCACAAGACTGATTAGCCTGAAGTTAATATTACAGCTTATCTTCTTTCTCCTTGCCCCACACTGTGACTCCTTCATCTTGGAGTTTCTCTACCTGTGCACCGCTGACATCTGGCGCCAGATAATTCTCTGCTGTGGGGATGTGTCCTGTACGATGTGGGATGTTCGGAACATCCCTGGCCTCTGCCCACAAGATGCCAGCGCGTGCTGCTCCACACGCGGTTGTCTCCAGACACTGCTAAGTGTCCCCTGGGGCCAAATGGCCTGGGGGAGAGACGCCGCTTTTGAAGAACAGGAACCACAAGTTCAGAGGAGGACCAGCAGTGAAGAAGCCAGCGCACATTTCTTTACCGAATGCTCACCGTGTGGCAGCATGTTTTAAACATTCTCCATCTAGGAAATCATTTATGCCCTAGCGTAACCCTCTGAACTGGGTGCCTCTGACAAAGGAGGGAAGAGACGCAGTGAGGTGAAGGAGCTTGCTCCAGGTCACAGAGCCACCGAGTGGCAGCGAGGGACTCAACCTCACCCACAGGCGGCTGCTCAGGCACCTGCACCCAAACGTGCTGCCCACGCTGCCTTCCAGGTGCGGCAGCCTTTCCTTTCCTATTTGTGCCAACCCGCGTGAGTGGTCTGTGAAAATCAATCCTCCAGCAGGCTCCAGACCTTTCTGGAGAGCACCTAACGCGGCGCTCATGCTCCTGGTCCCCTCAGAGTCACACTCCTCTCCCCTGGGAATCGCAGAGTCTGAGTGAGGTTCTGCCCATGCTGGTTTTGAGTAGAAAGGCAGGACTCTCACTGATGACTCACTTCAATCCTAAAGGAGCGGACCAATCAGTGCAGGAAATCTGCTTACAGCTGTGCCTGGGACACAGCAAGTTAAGCAGAATATCAGTGCTGGCTCTTCTATCCTCACTTGGACATAAGCTGCTTTAAGGGCAGGGATCTTTGTACTACGTCTCAAATAGCCCCAGTGCTTGGCATATACTAAGTTCTCAATTAATATTCTCTGAGTCAGTGAGTAAACAAACCAAAGAGTAGCTTCCTTCAAAAACTGAGATCCAACACTTGGCCAATACTACTTAGTTGAGCCACTACTTTTAATTAAGAGTAAGTGATACCTTTGATGGTACATACTTCATTTAACAAGGAAGAAAGTTCATATATGAAATTTTAAAAGGTCATTTATATAGGTAAATAGGCATTCTCATATAATGTTGATGATTATTCAAATTGATACAAAATGCTAAACTGTCCTCCAGAAAGAAATTACCTGCCTCAAAAATGTGCAGAAATTTGAACCAACAATTCATCCTAAGAAAATAACCAGTTATGTACACAAAACAGAGTGTAAGGATGTTCACTACAGTCTTTTTTTATAACACTGAGAAACTGGAAAATTTTTTCCAGTATGTTTTAGTTTTGCTTTTCTGTAAAATGCTTTTAAACAGAGGTACCCATAGGTGAAACAAAGGAGCTCCCTTTAACAGTCACAGAATTAACATGCAAAGTTTAACTACCTGTACTCAACTCCAAAGATACACAGCACCTTATAAAATGTGTGACTTCGCTGTTGCATAAATGTGAACAGCAACCCACACGCCTGGTGGTAGAAAGATGTTTCCTGGTTAGCCAGCAGGGCTGGTCAGTCATCCAGCTTCCACATCTTAATTCAGTGTTCATGTTGCCGGGGGAACTTGTCAACTAGAGCTCATCTAAAGTGATCGCCAGAGATGACCAGGAAACTGACCCCTACACTGTGGTTCCAAAGCATGCTGTTCAGAAATGTACTCAGACAAGACTGCAATAGCCTGGAAAGGCTGAGGCTGATGGATGAACAATGTGTTCATGTCCAGCTGTGTAATACACAGTGTAATACAACCACATTTGGGCTTAACTCCAGGGCTGATGAGGGCACCTGGCAGCTGAGGTGGTCCCTACCTAAGAGTTATGTTTTCAAACATCTTCCACTACTTGGAGAAGTTTTATTTATCTTGGAAATGTGACCGATCTCTTTGCCATTATCCTGTCTGCACTTCCCTCCACCCCCCTATTCTTTAGATAAGCAAACTATTTGATTTACTCAAATGGTACCTGTGCCTGGTCTTTCTATCAACCACACCTATTACTATCCTTTGTCACTAGAGCACTCATGCAGTCCTCTACTCCACTAAATAAACCATGGTAACATGCAACGCTTTTCGAAGTGAGGTTTGGAACCTTTGGGGCATGATGTAGCTCTCTGGAGGGAGGAATGCAGAGAGGTACAGCTTAGTACATCCCCGCTGGTAGCCTCATCCACCACTCTGGAGAGCTGTCCTGGCAGGAGAATATGCAGTGTCTGCCTCTGGAAGCACATCCTCAGGCCGACAGCAGCCTGCACTGGGACCAGAGTCTCTTTACTACAGCCTGTACCTCTGGTAAGATGAACTGCTCCACAGGCTTGTACCACAGCTTGTTCACCTGCACCCCACAGCTCGGAGGACTGAAGCGAGCAATGAAGAGGGCCTCCTACAGATCGGGGGGGGGGGG